TTGCAAGACTGAAGACGAAACAGGTTTGACGTCTAATCCTTTTAGTAAAGAAGAAGAAAGAAGTAGAAATGGAAAAGGTGTATAATTAATAGAGAAAAAGAATAAAATAATTATATACGTAAAATGAAGGAGACCTTCTTCTTCTTCTTCTTGTGCCATCTCCTCTAAGAAGGTTGACAACCATCATGGCAATTCGCACTTTCGATACCGCTGCTCTAAAGAGGTCAGCAGAAGTGCAGTTAAACCAAGCTCTCAAATTGTTTAACCAGGAGATGCGTCTTCTTGCTTTAATGTCTTCTGTGTACTCATTATTTTCGTTAATTATTGTATCCAGATATTTATATTTTTCAACTTTTTTAATTTGTTCTCCATGTATTGTTAAGTTTTCCTGGCGCTATTGGGCTTTTGTAATTACCATAAATTTTGTCTTTTTTGTCTTTAGGGACAGTCCGTTTACTTCACAGACTTCTACCACTCTGTCAACCATGTGTTGTAAATCCTCAAGACATTCCGTTAATAAAATAGTGTCGTCGGCAAACCGTATATTATTGATTGATCGGCCATTTACTTTTATTCCCATAGTTAGTTCTTCTAGTGCTTCTTGGATTATTTCCTCTGAATACAAATTAAACAAAGTAGGAGACAGGACACAGCCCTGCCTGACGCCCCTCTCAATCTGTATTTCATTTGAAAAGACGTTGTTCTCTTTTACCACAGCGATCTGATTATAATAGATAGCGCTAATGATCCTAATGTCTCTCTTATCTAAGTTCTTTTCAAGTAATTCGAAAAGACGGTTATGTCTGACCTTATCGAAGGCTTTGTTTCAATCCAAGAAACACATATATACTGGCTGATTAACATGCACCTTTGCACAAGTACATTGATAGCAAATAGGGCTTCCCTCGTTCCCAGTGCATTTCTAAATCCAAATTGTGTGTTGCTTATGTCCTGCTTAAGTTTGTTGTGTATTCTCCGGTGTATAATTTTTCAAAATATTTTGAGCGTATGGCTCATTAAACTTATTATCCGGTGGTCTTGGCATTCTTTTGCATTTGGTTTTTTTGATAGTGTTATGAATGTTGACATCAGACAATCTCTGTACTGTGTTTTGTATTGAATAAGTCGACCAATATTCCAATTTGCTGTTCTTCTATTAACCGTATTATGTCTACAGGTATTTCGTCAGGACCTGTTGCCTTGTTGTTCTTTGTGCGCTTTATCACCTCTAATACCTCATTTTCTGTTATATCTGGGCTGTAGTCCAACTTTTCCTGCTCTAATACTATCTCAGTCCGTTCATCTTTAAATAGCTCTTGAATATATTCCTGCCATCTTTTAAGCCTTTCACCGACATCTATAATTATTTTGCCGTTTTTATCCAGCAGTGTGTTTGATTTTTTCTTAGTATTAGTGCCAGTTATTTTCCTAATTTTTTTATGAAGGTTTAAGTTATCATGTTTCTTTACCAGCTGTTCAATCTCTTTCCATCTGTCAGTATACCATCTTTCCTTTGCATCTCTGATCTTTCTCCTTATTTCTGTGTGTATAATATTATACATGTTTTTGTCTTTGGTTTTATAAGATCTCCTTGCTTCTATGAGATCCATAATCTTATCAGTCATCCATTCAATTTTGTTCTTGATCAGCTCAGGTATTAGTGTTGTCTCATATGGGCGTATAAGAGTATCTTTTAACATTCTCCATTTCGTGTTCGCATCTTCAGTAGGAATAATTTCTATTTTGGTGAGCTCTTCTTTAATTTTTAGTGTGACTTGCTCTTCTGTTGATGGATCTCTCAAACGGGATACTTGTATCCTCTCACTTTAGTTTTAGCCACAAGTTTTTTTTAGATTAATTCTAAATCTTCCTACAACTGGGTTGTGATGTGATCTCACATCAGCTCCGCTGTATGATTTTACTGATTTTATGGAATTTAAATATCGTTTGCAGATGAGAAGGTAGTCAATTTGGTTTTTGATGACGTTATGTTTGTTGTCTGCTGGAGATTTCCATGTAAAGAGTCTCCTGGGCGGCTGATCATAATAAGTTTTCGCGACAATAAAGTCGGTTTCTTGGCAGAATTGAGTCAAACTGTCTCCTCTCCTTACGGGTGTCCAGTCCAAAGTTTCCAATAAAATCGCCTTAACTTCCTCTACTGATTTTTGCATTTAGATCTCCCATGCCTATTGTACTTTTCTGCTGTAAGAGCATATACCTGGTCATTGTCATTACCAGAGTAGTATATCTTTGTTTGGCCTACTGATATGTCACCTGAATTGGGCCATCCAGTCTCACTTAGTCCTAATATTTTTATGTCAAGTCTTTCCATTTTCTGAATGACATTATGGACTTTACCTGCTTGATATATTTACTTAACATTCCAAGTGCCTATATTCATACACTTTCTGTCGATTTTCTTTCTATCGTGTTACTTTTTTGTACAGCCATGACAATTGTACTAGGGATATCTGTGTAGAATCTTTAATATAGTGGTTTCCCCTTGCCCTTGAGGAAGACCAGAGTGGTCCAAATAGCAGGAAGTTGATAATCTATCATAGAGTTATTAATCTACCAATGAATAAGCAGAATTGTTTATAGAAAGAAAGAAGAAACAGAATAATGAAGTAACTGAAGCACTTGTTGTGGAAGTCGTACCGTATTAATAAAAGTTTGTGGATAATAATAACTATCATATAGAAAAGCTAAAACGACAGTAAATATTTAGACTTATAGCTAGAAAAATACTGAGGATACTAAATGATCTTTCATAAGATCGCTTAGAGAATCCAATGAAATGATTGGAAGAAAAAAAGACGGTCCAAAACGAGACGACTGTATATGAATATGAAAGTAATCTTCAGTTTACAGATATATCTTATTTGGTTATTTGATGTTCCTGCCTCTTAATGGTTGATAAACAATTGATCTCAAGCCTATTATTAGTGACGTTTTAATTCTTATTTTTGTTTTTACTTTATTTGCTCTTGTTTCAAGCGCATATTATGTCATTATGAGCCTTACTTATGATTTATATAAGTATATGTACTTTCTCATCTAATCTCATATCCTTGGTATTCCATCCATCCCTTAGACATCCCGATAGATAAGCTACTTCATTAGCTTATTTTCCTACACTTCTTTTAAAGTTTCGATAGCTAAATATTTATACCCATAAATTCACGAATTCTCGAGACTTGTTTGAATATATTAATCAGCTAAATTTTCTATAGAAAATAGATGTTACAAAATTTGTTGTATATATATATTCAATGCAAAAACAAAGTAAAACTACTCAACTCCACCTCTGTCTCTGCTGATACCGTCTCCGATATCAGTTAACCTGGTATTTGATTTTATATCGAACGCTGCATTACTTTGATTAGTTGAGTCTTTGAGCATCGTAATATCTGAACTGTTTCTTTCGGTAATTACTAAAATACAAGAACTAGAAAATCTAAAGATCTTTATATAGATCTTTAATTAATATTATTTATTTTATTTCTTTTTTTTTGTTCAGTTTTATTGCAGCATAATATATGATAGACTCATAATAATTATAATAGGTCAAATAATAATATTATTCAAATAATTACTATTGGTCTGTAGTTCTTAGGGTTGTTATCATTTCGTTTCCCTGGTTTTAATACGGCAATGATCTTCGAGTGCCGCTGTTAATTCTTGAAGAATTCAGGATGAATATTGTCAAAACCTGTGGCTTTACCTGACTTTACATCCTTGAGATGTATAGTGACTTCTTCGCAAGTGAAAGGGCGAGAGTATTCGGTTTTTGCAGATTGGAGTTTTAAAGTTTTGAGTTCTCGTGTTACCTTGATTATGTGTGGCTTGTCTTTCGGGGCCCTAGATGTCGATACCAGATGTGAGGCAATAGTGTTTGGGTTAATTGTTGTTATGGGAGTTTCGCTTCCCAATTTTCTTAGTAGTGTCCGTGCTTGCCTACTTGATGTTTGAAAGTTAGGACTTAAATCTAGATATTTCAATATATCCGTTGAAAATGTTACCCATTGTTCTATATGTCGCTACTCTCTGCCATGGTTATTTGTAGCACCGCTAACTCTAAAATGTTACAAGACAAACTCACACACAAACTTAAAGGTTATTAACTCTTCTATCTTCATTCGATTTTTAATGAATTTTGTTTTGTGAAAATTTGCTTATTATTTTTTATCGGAAAAATTTTGTTTCAACTTGAAGAATGTAATTGCATATTAAATCATAGTGTTAATTCCAAACAACTTTTATAATAACAGTATTCGATATTGTGAAATATTAACGTACTTTACTTTTGAGCGAGATTCATATTTTTTGACATACCTTTTGACATGTTTACAAGACTGATTCAATTTGATATCTGATAGTTGCATCTTAGATTTCAGACCATGCAGAACATTTTACTTTTTTGCGTAAAATTAATAATTAAAAAGTTTTCTATATGTTGCTAACTTAAGTAGACACGCTCTAGCTATATACAGATATATAATTAGTTTTTATTAAGTAAAGTTAGGACAAGAACGTAATTATATACCTACTTAAGAAACATGAAAATATAACCAAGGAGCATTCCTTTAGAGCTTCAGCATAAAAAATAATCCCATAAACTTAAGGTATAGGCGAATAGACATTGACTCCAATTCCAATAATCCCCAAACACACATACACCCACAAGACTAAAACTAAATGACACGATAAAAGTGATTTTTTTGTTTCCAATGTAAAGAAATAAAATAGAGTTTTAAAAATTTTTTATTATAAAACCAAATTTTATTTGAAAATCGAAATGTTTTAAAACATTTATTTTGCAATTTATTGTTTATTTCTAAGAAGATATTTGAACAAAAATACTTTATTACTAAGAAAGTCTCATTACCTTTAATAATTAAGCGTTCATCTAGTATTACCTCTTATCAGTTATCTTATCACGCCTTTTATCTGCTCGACACATATTTTTATCTTTTAGAATATTATAGGTAGTAATCAGAACTAGAACAAAAATGAGATCACAGTGACATGTTAGCATCCATAATAATGATTCATCCATCGAATTTACTACGATCGAACTCAGAAAGAGCTCAGTTTTCTGCCCCAGTGGGCAACTATTTAAACGAGATAGACTGTGGAATAAAAGCCTTGCCATGTCTAAGCGACAGACTGAATTTACAAAAGTTGGCAAAGTTGTCTGTTTTTGTTGTGGTGCTTTGTTTGATGGGTTGTGCCCATGGGATCATTAATAGTTATTTCACTGGTACTTCCCAATTGTGGACATCTCATTACAGTTTTCCGGGGTCTACAAAAGGTAAGCATGTAAAAGGAAGTATTTAGTATAATTTATATTAATTCAAGATAAAAATAACTGATTGTGTCGATTCGCTTATATAGTTTATCTTTTTTATTAAATAAATAATTGCCAAAATGAAAACAATATCGCAAATAATATTTAAATCAAAATGGTCAATAAGTGGTAATAAAAAACTGTTATTATTAAACTATTTTTGAAGTTATTACATGTTCAGCTATCATTCATAACTGTACATTTTATGGAGAATGTTTTAATTAATATATTTGATGGGCATTAAGCATCTTTGCAAAATTTAAAGTTCTTTAATTAACGTTTTAAATTTGATCTTCGAAATTGTGTAAAAATAGTAGTATATTTTATCTAACATATTATTTTTTATTGATTATTTAGAAATACAATTTTGTCATATTAAACAGGGTGTAAATATAAAATATTTTATTGAAACTTCTTGTTGAAACGCAAAATCTTAATGTTGAATAGTCAAATAAATAATCGGTAACCTTGTGCTCGGATATGAAGGTTGTAGCTTCAAGCCCTTTGCTATGAAGAGAATGGGAGAGACATTTTTTGAACTTCCCTTTATTGACGATCTGTAATATTATTTAAATTAAGTAAATAGTTTGTGTTTCTACAGGTAAAACTGAAGGAAAAAGTCCTATGACAATTTTCTTTGTTTCATAATTTTAACAAAAATAATTAGTTAGCTTGGTATGTACAAAATGTGTACTAATCTTATATTTTATACAAGAAAATGCCAGTGTTTAAGGTAGGACTTCTTCTTCCAATAGTTACTCTTTTTACCTGACGGTAGTATACCTAAAATTGCTTTTTCTGTTGTGCCTATTTTGCTAGTATTGGTTAGTTAGGATCTTCAGTTAGGATCCAGGTTTGACATCCTGGACGATATGTCATGATAAAAAGAATGCACTTCTTAAACTCTTTGCTTATCAATTATTGAGTTATATTGCGGTTTTTAAGTATCCAACTGATTTTATAAATCTTATCCTCGCCAGTCTTGTTCATTTAATAATTTCTGCACTTTGGTCCGCTTTCTCAAGTTTAAGAATTTTTCCTAGATAGATATGTTCTTGGACTTGTTCTATCTCATTGCCATTTCTAGTTATACCTCTGTTCTTTTTGTTTTTGTCCTATTCTTTTATAGGTCGACATATTGGGAGCGGAATGCAAGTTCCTCCACCAAAGTTTGTATTTCTTCGAATGTGTTCGCTATAATCAAGAAGACATCAGCGAATCTGAGGTGGTTTAACTGATTGCTATTAACGTGAATGCTATATGTTTACCAATTTGTAGTTTCGAAGACATCTTCTAGGACTTTTGGACGATGTTATGTCACGTTGTTGAACTCTTCTCTTAATGGAGATGTGATTTTTATTTCCGTCTAGTTTTACTATCATAGTTGCGTTTTTATATATTATATATTATGCATAATTTACCTATATCTCGAATTTATGTCAGAATTATCAATAGCTTATTCTACTTCACATTTAGATACGGTCAAAAAAACGCTGTTGAATACTATTTCTTTTGTAGAGAGGTATAGAGATAATGAGTTGTAATTTATCTAGCAGTAGCTTTTCAAAAACCTTTGACATCATTGACAGTAGACTAGTAGATCTATAAGGCTTAATGTCTTCTGTAGATTTTCGAACTTTCTTGAGAGTACCTTAAATTAATCTCGTGATACTTAAAACAATTGGATCTCGTCGATAATATTAAGATTTATAGTATTTATAATATTTAGAAACTATAGCTAAAACACTTCTATAAGGTGATCGGTAAAGACTTCGGCGTTTTCCTATTCCTAGTGGCCTACCGTCCTCCATCATCTAATTAAATTAGGAGGGTTGAGTAGCTGATATCCATTTAACTTTCCATTATACTCATTTAACTTACCATTATACTCTTTATCAGGTAATACTAATTACTATTATTTTTATAATTATTCACTAGATTTGTTAACCGTACTGAAGCTTGGTATAATTTAATTTTATCCTGGGGTGCATTTGTTGTCTTTGATTATCCTCAGCCTTCACTTTTTTGTGATTTTTAATAACTTAATTAGATAATTCTTGTTGCTTGTTTACTATGGGTTTTGTTGGTGTTGACTGAAAGGCTGCTCCTTGTATTGTTTCAGTAAATTGTTGTACTGTTTTGTCAACGTCGCTATTACTTTTAAGAGGTATCTTTATGTTGAAAATAACATCAAGACGACCTGGGGATTTGCCCGAATCCACGTAGTTATTACTTAAAAATGGTGAATGTTCATTGTCAAGAATATAATATATTTAGGTATACGAGTAGTAACTAAATCTGGAATTGTGTTTGTATCGGATAGATTTTTGCTTTTCTTTGCCATATAGACGTCTTCCTTTCAGAGGTATTAGTTTGGATCCCCGGGTGAGCTAAATAATTTTTATATTGTTAATTGTTTATAGTGTATCGTCGTGGGGATGTAAATTGTAACTTTTTGTCAAAGAACCCTTCCTGTCGCCTATAATAACACTAATTGCTTAGATATAGTCTTTCCCAAATTTATTTAGCAGATAGTGTAAGGTGAATTGAAAATTAGACTACCATTATAAAACTATGGTAACTATAAATATCCTAATAAATAAGGATATATATATATATATATATATATATATATATATATATATAATAATATATAGATACAAGGAGACGTAAACAGACTAAGAACCTTTGCCGAGATAATAGTCTACGTTAAGTGAAGTGGTCAATATAGGTAAATTAAAGTTGTTGGAACATTTAAAATCGATGAATGAGGAAACGGTATAAAATAAAAATGGGAAAAACTAAAAAAAGGTTATTTAAGATGCGAAAAAGAAGGGCGAAGGAAATTGTAATAAAAATTGGAAAGCAAAAATAAAGGAACGTAAATAAACAGGGACAATTGTCAATTTAAAGGCCTAAAATGCCTCGTTAGTGTCGAATAGAACGTCCTATAAATCCTGGTTTAGAATTGCGACTCTTCTTCTTCTAGTTCCAACATTTTTTAAGGTATCTCATAAGACAACTCTTCAGAGAATGGCTATTTTAGAAATTATTCCATCTAGGTGCTACACTAAACAAAATAGGTCTAAAAGAGTTTGCTTTAGAGTATCAAAGTATCTATCATTAAGTTTGTTGCCTAGTAGGTTTAGGTTCTTAAATGGCTGGAATGAAATCTTGTCTTTTGAGTTTGGTGAGTTGGTACTTGTCGTTAACCATCACAGAGCGACCTTACAACTTATTTTGCTTTAATGTTAGAGCATTCGAGGGTTCTTAAGACGTATCTCTTTCCAAGAGTGATTCTCTTGGACAATAGTGACTTTTTGACCGTGATTCTCCTCAGAATGTTCCTTTAAAATGATGTTAATTTGGCGTTTGTTAACCATTGTGTAGAGGCTCGACCTGCAGTCGAGAATAGGCTTTATGTATATTTTGTACGTATAGAAGAAAGTCTGGTGGTGGGTTCTCTCTAATTTAGTGCTTAGTGCTTCCAGGGGATTCGCTCTTTTGCTCACCCTGGTTAGGTTATTTTTGATACCAGTACTCCAGTTTACCGCCTTATAAAATTCAAAATTTAAATAGACTGATGGCCTGAATTTAAGCCATTGTTCGAGGAATACTATTTGGTTATTATCATCAATATGGTTGCCGTATGACTTAGGGGGTCGATATTATGTTATATCTGTTAGTATTATATATAACTAATAGATTGGAGAATTTCTTAAAAATAAAAATTCAGTACTTCTGCGCTTGAAGATAAATATATAAAGAATGCAAATTACCTAATTTCTATTATTGGTTTCTTTGTGCAAGATAATGATTCCATTTTACATCTGCACTACCAAGAGTACTTTTTCGCTTTAAATAAATTTCTACTATGAATATGCAGAATGCAAATGAGTGAATATTTAGTATTGATTTCTTTATGCAGGATAATAATTGCATTTCCATTGCATATGCCCACATAATTTGATGAAGAGTTAAACTGAACTAAGATTACGAACATTTGTGAAAAAGTATGTCACATTTGTACAGGTTGTCCTAGTATTCTGTCAACAAAATTATATTTTAAGTAAAATATGCAGGAATTAGTAGTAATAACAAATGGATTCAAACTACAGTTTTGGTTTTAGTAATTTTAATGTCACTAGTTCCGTAAGCGCTTTGTAACGGTACTAGTAGATACTTATTGTTAAGACAACTAAGAAGCATAGTTCATGTCAAATTTCAACCAAAATAATTTACTTGTTTACCATTATCGGTTTTTAGATGCCTTGGAGAGGAAGTATCAAGTTGATGCTGTGTAATCTGACTTCACAAGGCATTTGACACGGTTAATTGATTATTATTTTTTTAAAAATGAAGAAATATCGCTTTTCTGATATATTCTAAATTAAATAATTTTTAAGTAAAATATAAATACTAATATTATGTTTCATAAAAATGTGTATTGATAATACTTCATTGCAGTTTTGACAACGTAATGAAAAGGAAAGAATTTATCTACTCTAATTTGGTATCCAAACTGTAATATATCGGACCGTATGAAACAAACTAAATTTATTTATATATAATACGCAGGAATCCTAATTTATCTTAAATCTTGTTGCAGGTTGGCTTGTAGTTTCTAACGAAATATTTGTCGGCATATTAGCACTTTGTGTATCATACTGGGGTAATCGCATACATAGAACCACTTGGATGGGAGCTTTAACTATGCTAATTGCGGTATCTGGTGCAACTTTGGCAATTCCTGAAATTCACAGACCGTTTACTGGAGTTGAGATAACTAGTGCTATTATAGGTAAGTTTGTCATGTCTTCTAACAATTTATATAAACAATTTAACATTGATTATAGATAAGAAAACTAAAGATTTATCAATTTTTTTTAAATACTATATTGTGTTCGAGAAATCTTACAGTCAAATGCAAACTTAAAGAAACGCTTTTTAGCGTAGATAATACGAACAAAAATTATGACATATCAGTCATAAATACTTTTCTTATCGACAAAATGCTATCCTGTAATAAAAACCATAGATATGATAAATACATGCTGGAGAAAAATAATTATGCAGACAAAAGAGTTAAACATCTACATATATTTATTCAATTTTAATATTTTTTGGTATACATGTAAGTGTCCCTTACTAGTAAAATTATTAAATTTTCAGCTTATTCGCCCTGGTTCAATAATGTGTTGAGGGTCCGCGATTTCTTATACACTCATTGACACGCCTAGATATCGTTCTAATAGGGTGGTCGATATCCTCTTGGAGTATCTTAGTCGAGGCTACTACAACTTTATGAGAAAGAGCTGCTAATGTCTGCGAAGGCTGTTGCAAATTCATGAGTTCACGATGTATCATATCCGAGACATAATTGAATTAGAGACAGATCAATTCGCTATCGTGGTGGCCAAAGTATATGTTTTTCCGCCATGTTTTCAGTCAAAGGCTACCGATTTTCTGGAAATATGCAGTTTGGCATGAAAAATCGGGGTTTTGATGGTGTTTAGATAGGTATGGAATAATTTGAGACCCCACTGGTTCTGAATAAATTACCTCTAGTAAAAATGAGTGGTGATTTCTTACCATAAGCAATAGCATCTCATACCATTACTTCCACGGTGCGTTAAACGCGTCACTCTCTGTCAAATTGTGAGTTACGTCTTTCACCACGTCGTCTTCTCATTCTTGCCTGACCATTGTGCATCTCCAGACAGAAGCGGAATGGATCACTAAAGACCACCAAATTCCATTTTTGGTCCCATAAATTTTTCTCTCTGCACCAGAGCAAACAGTTATGCCGATATTCAGCTGTGAGAGGCAGTACCCAATATGGGCGATAAAACAGGCAAACTGTCGTATTCATACGCACACCAACCAGTCTTCCACGGTTTTTAATTTCGGTTCGAATATTGCTGATCCTGTCTCTTAGAGCCAGAAGTCTTAATTGCCTCTCTTGTCGCTCCGTGGTTTCTCTTTGACCTCCAGAACCCAACGGTTGATGTCACACTGACCTTCCTGAGTTCACACTCGTTCACATTGCAGTATACTGCGAAAGAATCTGTTGGTATATATATATATATATATATATATATATATATATATATATATATATATATTCAGCGATTCTACAGTATTCACTGCCTTCCCTCGCTCAACCGTTTCCATATCTCTCTCTGTTGTCCCATTCTCCATCGTTTAGGCCTCTCTTACTTATTGCGTACAATCTGTTGGTCCTTCTAGAAAATTCCCTTATCGATAGACGGCTTCACGTACTCTACGCACTTTGAATAATGTTTCTTTATAACCAAACAATTCACGCAGCTAGTACAAAAACTTAACAGATAAACCTGAAAACTACAATATTATGAATTCTAATAAATAAACGTAGGTGTTACCTTTCTTCTCGAAAAAAACTGGATATAACTTGTTTTACAATAAAGGTGTATAGTAATATTTTGATTAAAGTTGGATTGTGAGCTCTGTCCTGCTTAAAAACTTTTTTTCATTCTTTTCTGTTCTGAGTACGTCATCTCTTGGCGTATTTTTATACTGGATGTCCTATAAGTATTGCATATTCTTTGGTCTTTCTTGTTTCAAATTCAAAGTTTATCAATAATTCCACTTGTCTAGTCATTTCTTCCATCTTTATCCTAAAGCATCCTAACATGCGTTTTTAAAATTAGCTCCTGGACACGTCTTACAATTAATGTAGTATGTAGTACCTACTTTCATGCGAACCGAGTTGTACAAAGTATGTCCTCAAGCACACACTAGTACAGAAATCCAAGGTTTTTCTTTATTATATATATATATATATATATATATATATATATATATATATATATATATATATATATATATATATATATATATGTATATATAAAATTATTTATTTAATATATATTACCATACGACATATAACTCATACGACAGCAAAAAGATAGCTTCATACGATTTAATAAAAATATTTCTTTAGGTCCACCTTTATGCACCAACTTTACAGTTGAAGAATCGAGCAGAGTTAGTGTCTCAAACGGGACAGTGACAAGTGATTATTTTGATGAGATAATTCTTTTATATATTATAATTTTCCAAGTAGTTTTTGGATCTGTAATCATATCCTTCATAACGCATGGGTTAACGTATATTGATGATCATACATCTACAAAGCAGAGCCCTGTGTTGATAGGTCTGGTCTTAGCTTCACACGTAATAGGAAAACAAGGAGGAATTTACTTTGCGTGGATGCCTTATATGCTGCATATTAATGGTATATTTGTCTCCCCAAGTAAGTAGAATAAAAATGCTTTACACAATTGAAATTATTCCAAATTTATTGCCCACACTATATTGTGGAAAATGGAAATATGTATCGATGTATCCCACTGTATATAAAAATAAGTAAATTGTATTTTTTACAGTATGGATTATAATAATAATTTTGACATTCCTAATTGGTGCTGGAATGGCCTTGTTTCCAAAAGTACTTCCAAATATGGTTCTAAGAAAATCAGTTAACTCTTTGGTTAGTATTGCTGCAGGTGGCGATCCAATGCAAGAAGAGGAGGTCGTTGATGGTAGGTATAATGTGCTTTTTAATATTTGACAACACAAATGTCAAAAAAATGCTAATCAGATAATAAATCCTACGCTTGCTCAATGGGCAGATCACGTAAGAAATAGTGAATTGACCTCTAGGATGAAAATTACATTTTGATAATTTAAACAATTTTACTATTTTTTTGGGGTAATGTCTGTTAGAAATGCCAGTTTATGAAGAAATGTTTTGTTCTGTGTTATAAATACGTCCGTGTTAATAACAATTTCTGTTTCAAAAAACAGTAAGATCTCTTTTCTTAACCTCGTATCTCTAAATGTGGAAAGATGTCCTTATATTCGCTATTTAATTCCTCCAAGAAAAAGATGAATTTTCGGTGTCGCTGTGCTCTGTTTCCTTCTCTTAAGCTGTTTACTATCTGCACTACAGTTTTCATAGTATCGTTGATTATAATTATTATCTTTCCGTATAGAGCCTCTTGATGGATAATGCAATGTTAATGCAATGTTAATGATAATGCAATGGTAATAACACAGTTAACACCATTTTCCAGAAAAAGTCCAGCCAATCCCGTTATGCGTCCCGTCATTGCTTTAACTCCGTCGGTACAAACGCAAGAGCACTTTTGAAAACCGCCTATATTTTTCACAGCGTCACTAGCTGCTTCAAATATATTTATACCTTTGGTCCCGTCTTCCATGTGGTGCAGTTTTAGAAGTTCCTCAGTTACACAAAAATCTTCACTGATGCATCTAACAAAACTTAATAGCTGATTTTTGTCAGTAATATCAACATATTCGTCCAGGGCTAAGGAGTAGTACAAACAATCACGAGCTGTGCCTGCCATTTTTTTCTAAACCCATGAGTATATAACTCATCAACTCTTCTAGATATAGTTTGATAGGAAACTGAAATACATTCAAAATTTTTGGCCATCTTTTCATTTCCAAAGGATCGCACCATTTTAATGACACACCGCTTGATCATTTCTCCGTCTCTAAATGCTTTTTTACTTTTGACAAGCTCTTAACATACTTCATATGATGCTGCTAAGCTTGATGATTGAACAGCTGTCGGTTGTTTAAATAGAGATTTTTGTTTATTCAATTTAGCTTTAAGTTCTTTTACAAGGGTTATTGCGAGCTTCACCTTGATATTTGTTGTATTTTGTTTTATGCTGGGTTTCATAATGCCTACTAATATTGTATTCTTCTGATATCGCGAGTACTTGACAACAAATAATGCACTGAGGGTTGCCTTTTATTTCGATGAAGAAATATTGATTTTCCCATTTTCCTTGGAACTTACGATTCTTTGCCAAAATTCTGTGTTTTTTGGTACTACTCATTCTGAATTTAACATTCAATTTATTCGCCACTGTTAATTCAACACGACACGCGCAGCTGACTGAAGCTAACTGCCCGCTCATCGGGAGTGGGTGTTCAAGGTTAACTACTTTCTTAATATTGTGGAAAGTTAGACAGGGTTGGAACAGGTAAAAGTTATCAATGGCAATATTTTTGAAATTTGTTTGCGGGGGCCGCAATTTAACGAGCCTCGGGACACATGCAGCCCTTATACCTAAGGCTGGACCACACTGACCTAGCTAATCTCAATAATTCCATAAATCAAAGAAAGAAAAAAAAAGGTAAAAGGTAACACCTAATTTTCCTTATAACCGAGCTCTAAAAACAAAGCACTAGATTATTAAAAGTTCTTGACACACTTTCAAATGGTTTCCACTCAGAGCACATTGCTTAACATTGGTCTTCTGCCTACGCCTCTGCTGTCTTCTATTTTTCTAATATGCAGATGTGAATCTTGCTTCTAAATAATTGGAAATCAGAATGATAGACGCCGCTAAAATGTTCTGTTGGAGACAAATATTAGAAATTCTCGACCGATCAAAGAATTCGTGAGTACCGAACTACTTTTACTTAGCAGTATAATTCCCACTTTCCACAAATTGATTTTCCTTTTCTTCGCATTTAAATCCGTTCCAAATCCGTATTATGGTAACCTAAATGGAGTGTCCCTTCTCCTTTATCCGAGACTAAGACCAGTAACAGTATTTTTGAGCTACTCTATAAACTTACTTACGACGAATAAAAATGTTAACTCTATTCCAGAAGTTTTGCATTTAGTTAGAAAATTATTAGGATCACTTTGTAAGTTTATGTTTAAATGAGGCTACAGTGCTGCCAAACATTAAGAAATATAATATAGCAAAAGAAGTGGTTATTGAGTATATTAAAAATTGCTCACAATTTTAAATTTTAATTTGTTTGGATTGTGTTCTTTACACGTTTTAGGTTATTTCCAGACACTGTGGAGACTACTAAAAAACAGAATTCTTCTTTTAAATATTGCATCATATGTGGTGGTTCAATCAGCTATAATAAACTTTGCGCTTTTTGAGAAGTATTTCAACCAATCCAAATATCACGTATCTATAGAAGATAAAGACTCTTCAGGATATTCAGACCCAAGCATCATCCAGATGACTACAAATCTTCTAAAGCAACCGTTAATAGCTGTTTCTTTTTTAACAACGGGATTGATCATAGCAAAAATTAAGCCAAAACCAAGAAACTTAGTGATATGGAATACCATAGCCTTCGCTCTAGTTATCCTAATTTTCTGCAGTACAGCATTTTTCAATTGTACACATGGCATCAAAAATGAGCATAAACACTCAATAACAATTCCTTTCTGCAGTACAAACTGCGCATGCCCAACTGAAGAACCGTTCCAACCAGTTTGTGTGGATGGAAGTACTTATTTTTCACCATGTGTAGCTGGATGCAAAAACTTCACAGCAGCTACAAATGTAAGTATTAACATTAAAATATCGATAGGTAAATATTCTTAAAATCTGTGGTTGTTCTGTTGAACCACGTAGCTAGATTTTTCAGCCAGGACATCCTTCTCCTTCCTGCTCCTCGTTTTTTTCCTTCTACTTTTCCTTTTAAAATTAATTGTATCTGTAGTAAAAATATATCTTTACAAGATATGTTTATAAAAGTATATATTGTTTTATTTTATTTTATTCTAACTTGTAGGTATATCATGATTGCTCATGTGGATCGATAGTAACAGAAGGTTCATGTGATGAGGACCGTTGTAAGTTTATCTTGGCCTTGAGTCAAGTTAACAACATTGTATCAAATGCAATTATGGCTAGTACACTTATCGTCAACGTATTAATTATTCTTAGATCAGTAGCAAAACAAGACAAAGCCACTGCTCTAGGACTGGAGCTAACTTTTTTAGGATTGGTGCCGTATATTCCAGTTAAAATTATCTATCATTTTGTAACAGGTAAATACAATTATTCACATTATAAAAGCCTTTATACTTATATTATGTCCAGAAAGTGTGTACAGATTAAATAATGACAAACAAATTTTATTTTTTTGTTTAATTTAAATTTTAAACAAAAAACAAAATTTGTTTAATTTACTAATGTTTGTATTTTGAGAACGATTTCCGAAGTGGAAATTGAAACGTCAATAAACGCACTTTAACCTTTAATTGTGGCTTATTCTCATTTAAATTGTAATTACATTAATATGTTATTTTTTGTCTAAGAAAATGAAATATTTTTTCTTCTAATAGATTGTTTTATTTTCAGAGGGATTTTGTGAAATCCAAACTGATAATGGGTGTCAATACTTTTCCGAAAATTTTCCTCTGGCAGTCTCCATTGTAACTATATCTTTGGAGTTTTGTGGAGTTCTTCTATCACTCTTGTTACTGATGACCATCAATAACATTAATCTTTTTAAAAACAGGATAAGCTACGACTATGAACTAAATAACTTTCACTCTAGAATAAATACCATTGATCGCAATGACAGTCAAAATCCTGAAGATAATTTACCACAAGAAGAACAAGATCCATTCATACAAGAGCTAACTAATAGTCTGCAAAGAAGACACACTCCTCAAATGAGTCGGCAAGAACGAATGCAATCTTACATAGACGATGGCGAATTGGTTCCACCATTACAGCCGCCACCCAAGAGAAGAAGTTCTAAATCTAAATCGGAAAGCGGCAAATCTGATAATTCTAACAGTACTGCAAATAGGGCTAATTCCTTAGATATGTTAAACGGAAAATCCGAAGTTGCCAGTAATAAAATAGGCTCCAAAGCTTCGGCATCCATTGATTCTGATATGTCCTCCCTGGATCGATTTGCTGATTCACTGGAATTTTTAGATAACTCTTCTCAGGATTCAAAAAGATTTCTAGAACAACCTATTGCCGAGATCGATGAACCTCAAGAGAACAAAGCAGTGCCACAACAGAATGATGTTTTTGAAACGGCTTTCTAGGAGTTAATAAACTTGTTCTGGATGCTCTCTTTAACGATTAAGTCGAATCCATACAAAGGAGTACGAATCCTCAAGGTGCTGATAAGTAGTACCATGTGAATTCATTAATATTTTACGTTATGTAGTAATTCATATACCATTTAGTGGTTTATGTATACTATAAACAGTTCTTTATTAACTTCTTAATTTTGACAAATTCCGATCGGAAACCACTAGTAATCTAATGATATAGGTTTTTTCGAGAATTTTAATCCATGGAATTATTTCTTCATGACTTCTCTTCTACAATTGCGGCAGTATATTAAAATTAAGACGTTATCAGACGAAACGGCTGAAAACAATAATTAGAGATTGAATCTTTTATAGTCCGAAAATAAAGTATAAATACATACAATGCTCCTTCTGCTAAAGTTGATATACTAATAATTTGTTTAAAAAGTAGAATAGCAGCGATTACTACATTTGTAATATCTTAAAGAATTACCAAAAGACGTTTAAATGAAGTTGAGGATCATGGGACTGACAAAAACACCATAAGTTTGTAGAAAAGACGTCGTTTTAAAGTTAAAGCTTATCAAAAATTGTCAACTTTTAATTATAATAACTAAGGGAAGGTTTTTGATAAAAGCTTAGTTGCTAAGATCATCATCAATGACTTATACAATAATTCTTCATTTTGGCCTCTCTTGAGTAACTCTCCTTTTGCCTAATTAGATATATCTAACACATGCAACCGTAATGATTGTCACATCATAAATTGCCCCATACAATCTACATAAATCACTCCTACTCCTATCCCTGAGTAACTAAGCCTTTTAAGGGTTCAAATTCCGATAATAACCTTCATAAAATAATGAAAGAAAGCATTTGTCGCCCACATATAGCAACACCCTACATACATATTGTATCTTTGGATACATTAATTCATTTAATATATGAATTTTGTTATATTTTAGAACTGCTTTACTCAGTAATACAAAAAGTCTGATAGGCAGATTATCAACTATATCATTTGTGTCTACATTATTTTTAGTAAAATACTTGTACAAAATAGAATAAGAACTATTTGTTTGATATTTTATTTGTAGTTTATAAAAATTATCTAATTTATATATAAAAACTATTATTTAAACTCAATCACATCCTCAAGTTCTACATCTTCTTCGAATATTTCAACATCCTTTACAAAATACCAGACGCCTAGATCGAACAAGGCACCAATGAAGACGAAGGTAGCGGCTGTAAAATTCATGGTTGATCTCAAGTCCGCGCCGTTATACAGCCAACAGTTTCCTGTACCGGAACAAGTTCTCCCCCAAACAAGGCATGCTTTATCTGAAACACAAAAATATAAAGAGGATAGATAAATATGGTAAGAAAGAAAGGTTATAAATCAAAACATTCCTGCGAGCTACAGGTACTGCGGCTAACCGAATATATAACAAAGGAGTTCAATGAATGAATGTACACAGCAGCCGCCTTTATCGATATCAGTAAGGTATTTGACCGAGTTCGACATGAAGGAATGCTGCTGTAAGTGAATATGGTTACCGTGAAGAAATAACATGTCTTCTTGCGTCGTACCCAGCGAACACGAGATGCAGAGTTTCGAAACCCTGGAAGCAGGTGTGCCGCAGGGAGCAGTACTGTCGCCTTATTTGTACACCATATACACAGCGGACACACCTACTGGTGACATATCGTTATTAAACGTATCAAGATCCAGTAAGCGAAAATAACAAAAGACGATGATAACCGCTTCACACTGCAGAACAACTGGAAAAGTTCGTAAATGAAGGCCTGGATGAAACCTATGATGGTAATGATTAAATGTCGTACTATTAAGGTAATTCTGATGAAAGAACAGTATATACTTGTACACTCTTAGGCTAACTACAGTACCGAATCTAACTAAAGTACAAATACTGCTTCTAGTTAAAGCTCGAATATTGTTTAACATCAAACAAACTTGAATATTATCAACAAACTCATTCAACTTTCGATTTCCCAGGTAACGATGATAAAGATTTCGAAAATTCGGTTTTAGGTCCAATTTTTTCTGCGGAAGAGATTGATACTAAGAAGAAAAAAAATCTACATCTACTAATTTGATAGTGACTTAGAGTCAGAAGTAAAAAATAACAATGACAAGGTGGATGTTTTATCCACCAAAAAATCGGACTTAAAGTGGTCCAAAAAGAAAGATCCAAAATTAAAGGCACTTACAGTAGATTTGCTAATTACAGTTTAAGTAAGAAATAGCTGTGAAAAGGGGTAATAGTGCGCACTCTTGCGCACTATTACCCATTTACGCCTTAAATAGCAAAAGGCATTACAAATGAAAAACTACTGAGACATATCAACCAACAGATGCATCAAAATGTATGAAAAACATTATGATTTAGATCAACAACTGATTATTCGATCAAAGCAACTAAATAAAGCATACGGGCTTACCATTATAATTTTTGAATCAGAAAAAATAGAAGAGTTCTTGCAATTTTAGAGCACATGATTACTTACTGCACATTATTTCCCCATTTTCCCTTATATATTAATAAAACTATTTTCACATCAGTGCTCACCCATATTTCAATTTTATTATCATTAATTTTAAAGCAAAATAAGTAAGTACTTACCTAAAATAAAACCGAAGAGTATAGGAGATGGAACAAAGGCACATAGGCTCATTAACATCAATCCAAAGCCCATGGCAACAGCCTTATCTTTTTCTTCAACGCATCTAAAATATCGAAGAATTTAGTGATGTGAGTATGTGTGTGTGTGTGTGAGTATGTGTGTGTGTGTGTGAGTAAGTGTGTGTGTGTGTGTGTGTGTGTGTCTGTGTGTGTGTAGGTTTGTGTGTGTGGGTATGTGTGTTTGTGAGGGAGATAGAGAGAGGAAGAGATAGAATGTTAAAGTGATATTTAAATCCATACCTATGTAATGTAATTTAAATCTTGTTACACGAAATATTCTATTTATTAATCTATTCTATTCATTCATTCAAGCAGACCATCTTTAATTAAGCGGTGAATTCATTGGTGATTTTGGTCTAGGGAAGAGAAATGAAAGGAAAGAAAGATTAAAACTATTTGTAGAGGAAGAAGAATTTGCAATACTAAATACGTTCTTCAAACTACCACCAAGATATTTGCATACTTGGGTCTCTCCACAAGGTCAACCAGGAATCATAATAAAAAATCAAATTGATTACATAATGGCGAACAAGATATTCTGTAATTCTATGTTAAAGTTACCCCAGTGCTGACCTATCCTCAGATGATATTCATGTTATTGGTAAATTTAGGTTTAGATTTAAAAAGGTTACATAAAAGAATAGTAACAAAAAATGTGATATGAGAGGACTAAGAGATAAGGAAACAAAGGAGACCATCGCACGAATTCTTTCAGAAAAGCTAAGTACCATGGAGCAAACATATGATCCAGAAGAATCACTCCAGATTATATGTTGAAACCTTTAACAAGATCAGAGAAGAACATCAAGAAGAACAGAAAATGAAGAGAAGAAAAAAGTTGGCTGAATGACAGTATACTGCAACTCATAGAAGAATGAAGAAAATAAAAAATAAGAGAAAATAAGAACCAAAATACGAAAGGCCAAAGAAAATTAGTTAAAACCACAATGCGAAGAGATAGAGTTGTTGGAAAAAAAACACGATACATTTAATATACATAAAAAGGTTAAAACAGCAGCTGGTCTTCAAAATCCAACACAGCTAACAAACTACAAGATCAATAGGAGAACATCATCACAGGTAAAAATCAAGAAATATGCATATGAGCCAAATACATACAAGAACTCTTTGATGATAATAGATCCGAACAACCTGTGTTTTACATAATATGTAATGATCACTTACTAATCACATCAGATGAAGTGGAAAAAACAATATCACAACTAAAAGATGGCAAAGCTTCTAGACCTGACAATGCATATGCTGAACTCATAAAGTTTTTAAGACCGACGGTACTCAACGACTAACAAAAATATTCAATGGCATATATTTAAACGGAGAGTAGTTCGAGATCATGGCTGAAGTCAACGTTTATTGCTCTATCAAGAAAGCAAAATCTGTATCCTGCAACGATTTCTGCTCCATCAGCTTAATGAGCCACATTTTAAAGTTATTTCTAAAAATCAAATATCAAAGGATATATTACATATAAATAGGCGAAGAAAAAATCAGCCGTACACAAGTTGGTTTTTGGTACGAGAGAGGCTCTGTTTAGCATACAAGTGTTATTTCAACGATGTAGAGATATGAATTGCGATATCTATGTCGAATATGACATGGTGGTATTCGCTGACAGTTATGAAGACATTCACTTTCACTGAACATTAAGAAAAACAAATGTATGCTGATCTCTAAGAAGGAACAGCAAATTGAAAGAATCAGTGTGAATGGTCAACCAATAGAAAAAGTAAAAAACATACACCTATCTTTTACGAACGTCTATGAAAATTAAGACTGTTTCCTAGAAATAAAATCTCTCTTTCAAAAAATGGTTTAAGCTATTCAAATGCAACGTTTATCAGTGACCATAAAAATCAGGCACTACGATGTTATATCTTTCCTATAATATTGTATGGAGTTGAGTCGTGGACTCTCACAGACGCAACTATAAGAAAATAGAGAGTTTCGAAAGTAAGAATGCAAAGAGGAAAAGAGTTGTTAAACCACAATAAAAACAGCACGTCACATCATGAGGAATAGCGAAAGGTATGGGTTGCTGCAATTAATTATTCAAGGAAAAGTAGAAGAAAACGAGGACCAGGAAGGCGAAGAATTTCCTAGATGAAAAATCTGCAAGAAGAAGATCTTTAACTATTCTTAAAAGTGTGACTAATACATTTCATTTTTTATGGGAAGGCTAATTTGAAGAAGAAACAGACTTTAGGAGGCTATATAGGTATAAGAAGGAAATTAGAAATTTATTATATTTGTTATTGATATACATATGTATTCTTTAAAAAAATCTCTTAACGAACATTATATTTTTAAATTACTCTACACCAAGCTTTATTAGGATATTTCTATTTTATATAACATTATGTTTTTTATTGTAATTTTTACGAGGTTAAAAAAACCAAAAGGTTTTGGATAATAAACGTTTTATATATCTAAGTTCATTTAAATATTTTGTAATCTTTTATTTTATATTTATGAAAATGAAAAGATTTGGAATAGCAACTAGATAAAATAAACTATACTCAAACAATATTCCTTACCTGACAGTAACTAAAAAATTGGAAGCTCTTCCTGTAGCTCCACTGAACTTTAGCAGACAGACTACGGCAAGAAAGATATAGAACTGGAATAGACAATCTACCTGACAGCTTCCCGGAGAGGCGAAGCCGCTATTTTTCGAAAATATCGTCCAATGCTTTCTCAAATTGACTTGTCTCTTCGATTTTTTGTCATCTCTTTTATAACTGTGCGTTTCATCTCTTCTAATACACGAACAATCGGAAAATACGTTCGACCCATTTACGTTGATGACATCCCGGCAACCTGCATGACACGCGGATATATAAGTCACGCCGTTTTCCGAACACACTGGGTTGTATTTGATATGTTCGCACTGACAAGCAGAGTTGCACTTTGATATGGGGTCCAACCTAGAATTGTTAAAAACCACATAAAACGAAGTTAATTTTATACAGAAAAAATTGCGCTTAAACAATTATTATTTAATTATTAAGTCACAAATCTTATCAAATATCCTTTGTCCATGTGTCACTAAATTTATGATAATATTTGGAAAAACAGTTTTTAAAAAGTAACTGTTTATTTTTTAAAATTAGTAGAGGAGAAGGTGGTAATATGGCCCCTGCATATTTTATGGCCCCCCTCCGTATTTTTAATAACAAAGTGCTGAAATCTAGTGGAGAACGCTGGAAACTAGTTCACTAGTATACCAACTGGCCGGTAGGAGCGCTGTGAGCCATTAAGTGCAGTC